GGATTTCTGAAAACCAAACAAAAAATAAATGATTTATTCAATGTAGGAATTAACTCAGTTGTGCAACACCTAGGGTTGGACAGGAGCTATTTTCCAGCTCTGAGGAACATCTCTGCTCTCTCAGCCTTGTCCTTCCATCAGTGAGCATTGCGCGGTGCAGGACGTATTTTTGGCATTAGCACCATGCAGGGATGGTGGTTGGTCAGGGAGGGACATTCTGGTGAGAAAGTCCCTGTGTCAGGGATAGCAGCAGTATTCTGGAATGATGCACAAGAAGTATATTATGTGTTTAGGTCTTGATATATTTTCTCCTATGCCCCTACCAGCAGCTCCATGAGAAAAAGTCCAGATTCTCCGTAAGCTACATCCTTGCCTGCTCTCTGCTAAATAAGCAGAGAAACGAGGATGGATTTGCATCTACCGAGAACACTCAAGGTTCATGTGAGTTGAAGGGGCATGTTGATTACTCATGACTGTGAAGTGCCATCGTGGTACGTTACTCTTTTTTTTTCATAGAATTGAGAGAACAGCTTTAAGTAACATCAAATTGATTAACTGCCCTTGATGCCACATTTATAAATGTTCCACGTTTGAATTTTCTCAATATTTTCTTGTGGTGTCTTTAACGCTTCAGGCCACTGGCTTAAACTTGGTTTCCCAAAGTTGAAGCTGCAGTTGTGCCACCAGAAAAGTCTGCTAGGAAATATTCGTAGTCTCACTGGCGGAACAATGATGAAGTTATTTGCTTGCAGCAATATGTCCCCCTGTATTTTTTTTAATTAAAGCACTGTCAGTAGTAACAAAAATATAATATACAAACAAAATACAGAAAATACAGCATCCAGAATTATTTGCCCCATTTGAGTCTTTTTTTCTCCCTATGTGCACTAGTGCCCTGCAAGCGTCCCTGCATTGCTGTTAGTCTGCTTTTCGAGGAGAGCAGGTTTGATGGGGGCTTAGTGCTCAGAGTTTTGAATTTCCTGCATGTTTTGAGAGAATTGGTCGCTACGTAGAACTGCAGATAAGTGTCACTGCTGGTCTGCAGTGTAAAGGGAGGGTCATTTATTTAATTTTATTTCATTTCATTGACCAGCAGCAGACAGAAGCTCAAGCACGGCTTCCAGCCACCCCAGGCGTGCTGCCTCCAGGCTGGTGGAGCGGATTTGGAGACTGCATCACTGGGAGGGAGGGAAGGTCTCAGGGGCACCGTGGGGAACTGAGAGCATCCCTCTGGAAGGGTGGGGAAGGTCATGGGGAACAGGGAGAGGAAGAGGGGTTATTTTGGTGAGGGGCTGTAGAACTGCAAACTTTGGGAACCGCAGTCCATTCACAGAATGATGTTTTGAACGGGGCTCTGTTTAATACAAGAAGTTAAAGCATGGTCTCCAACGACCTGTGGCAAGTCCCGGTTTCTCTTTCCTGAAGAGATTTCCAAAAAAGCGATGTGAATATGCCAGTCAGCTGCACTGGGACCCCCAAATGCCTCTGTTCCTCCCCAGTGACACTTGTCAAGGGTAGGAGAGAGACTGGGGCTGTCATATGGAGTCACCGTCATTTTTCTCCTACTTGATAAAATGAGAGCAGTATGACCTAGATTGCCTTCACCTACCACTCAGCTCTCCTCTTCCCACCTCCATCCAGCTCCAGTCATCTCTGCTAGCCTCAGTCTTCAAACCCAGACGGTGGATCTGATCCAATTGATCCTGCTTCCCCACTTTCTTTTCCTCTCAGTTCCTTGACATGCTTTCTCTTGAACATCCCATGAGCCCTGGAGCTCAGGGTTTGGGATGTCTTCTGATACAGCCAGTTCCTCCTGGCTCTCTGAACCTCAGTCTTGTGGGACCAGATACTGCAGCTTATCCAGGACCAGGGAGCTCTTATTCCATCAGCTTCCTTCATTTTCCACCAGTATCTCTGCTGGTAATACTGGACACTTAAGGCCATTAACATGTACTCTTTAGCACTTCAGCTGGAGAATGGAGCATCTCATTTGCCTTGGCCCTGAACCACAGGAGATGGCTCTGCTTACAGAAAGCATCCTGACATGGCTGGAGCAACTTGTGTAAAGTACTTTTAGGGTATGAAGCCCTTTGAATCTGAAAACCTTCTTGGCTTCTCCGCTCAGAGGAGATTATGACTGATAATAATAATTATGACTGATAATAGTAATTGATGTGTTTAGAGCAGTAGATTGCAGGGTTAGCTTATTGCACACACTCAGCTCTTTTGAAGGCGGTCATTAATAAATAAAAGTGGCTTGGACCTCCTAAACCCACGTTAGTTCTATAACAGCCAAACAAAATCAAAAGTAAAACTTTCATTTTAAATTGGAAGGCCCATGAGGTTTGTAGCAGAAGTTAATTTCCGTAAATGATGGATCTAAATCTCTGGTAAACGTCCTGGTGCCGACAGAGGATCGAGGGTGGTTTATTGCCCTGATTATGCATATGAGCCTTCGAGCCGACACAAGGTGACAGAGGGCAGAGGGTGATGATGGTCCCAGACTCATAACCAGGAGGAAAATATTTATGGGAGATGACGTGAGGTAGCCATCTCCCGTGCTCCTGAGACGTTTGCATTTAGAGGTGCGCTGCAAGCCGACCACAGCTTGCTCGGGGTCTGGCCAGCCGGCGGGGGCTTCCAGCCTGCTGACATGAAAAGCCTCAGAAGTCCCCCGGGTTCATGTGCTGGCTGTGACAGACGTCCTGCAGGCTTCGGCCCTTCATGAGGGGCTGGAGACAGCAATCATGACAGCAAAACTTCTCGTTAGCCTGATGAATCACCACTGGTTTCCATTTTTTTGTGTATTTTTTTTTTTCCTTTGCTGCCTCGTCAGCTCGTCCCCCTATGATGATAGGGATACTGATAGGGATGCAAAAATGAGACCGAGTGGCTGGGAGAGGGGTTAAGATCATAGGAAAGAGCAGGAGAGAGGGACGGGAGAGCAACACCCATCCCTTCTGGTCACGGGAGTCGCTGGACCAGCTCGGCTACCCGTGAAGGGTCCGCAGGGAATTCCCTGGGACTCCTCAGGAGGAAACTGGCTGCAAGGCGGGTGAAAAGGCAGAGAAGCTGAGATGAACAAAGCCTCAGAGATTATATATTTAAGTCCTTTGCAACCACTTAGCAGGGTTAAGGCTCAAATCAAGCCATTGCTTTTGCACTGCTCTACAGCAGCGGAGCCGTGGCTGGCTGCGTGCCCAAAAAATGCAAGGTGGTAAGGCTTGGTTCTGACTTACCGAAGAGTGCACTGGGTTACGGTGCCCTATTCCTCATGTGCTATGGTCCATGATCATGGCCATGGACAGGTCAGGTAGGAGTCTGTAACTTGTGAAGCTGCTGTAACCAGACTTTGAGACTAAGCCTTGAGCCTAACTGGAGGGTAAGCCACGTATCGGTGGACTTCACTGAACTTACATTCTCATACAACCACTTTCCTCTAAAACATTGTCTTTTTATTTTATTTTTTTTTTTAAAGATGCTTTGTGAGAAACAAGATGCTTCTAAAAACTGAAGGGGAAAAAATAGATTGTGGACACGCTTCATTTTCAACCCATGACTTCTGCTGTCACAAGTAGGAGAGAGCTCACACAGCCTCAGCCCATCATTTTGGTGGTTAGAGGTTTTAGCAAGAAGAGATTGAAATTAAGTGTTCAGATCTTGTTGGTACGTGGAGGCTGCTGAAGGTTATGTTTATTTTAAAACCCTAATTGCGCAGACAAATGTAAAGTAGCTCCTGGTACACACAGACGTCAGACAGCTGCAGAACATCATTGCAGCCCATATGGCTGTAAAATTTGTTGCGGAGTATCCTTAGGCGCACTTCAGTCATTAAACTGTCATCTTTGCATTTTGTGTATTGATCGAGTAGGGTAGCTGAACTGTCTTCTCTCCTTCCTTTTTTAAAAATCATTTTTACATCAGAACTTTTTATTTATAGCAGTCTAAAAGCAGAGATCAAGAGAAAACGTGTATGACTTCTTTCCCAAATGACTAACTGGGTATTTTTCTTCATCATTAAGCTACACGGTTTAGCTAAACTGCGTGATGAAAGGGTAATTCACATACCATTGAGAGCATAAAAAATATGCCATTCAGGTTAAACTAAGACATAAAACAAACTTCATTTTCTGGATAACACGCAAGCACAACTTTCTGCAGTAATTAAACCTCTCACTGACTTTTTACAAAAAAGCAAACGGTGACTCTAATTTCCCTCAAACTCCAGATTACGTCTGTCTAAATCGAGTTTCATTCTGTACCTGCCAGTTTCACACCCTTGCAACGTCCTTCCTCTCTTCTGTTTTTACACACAGCTTGACTGGGTGTATTTGAGCCCCTGGCTCGTTCCCCCAGGTCTCAGCAGGCGGATGGGAAGGGGGTGGCCGTAAGAAAACCATTAGGATTTCAGACTTCTTTCCAGTGGGTAGGTGTAAATAATACAAAGGGAAACCAAACAGAAGCATTGTTGTACTTGGCATGAGCTCTTCTTCTGCCCGCGTGCAGCTGGTGGCTGTTCCTGGGAATGCTCTGCGTGAGCATCACCGTATCCACTGGGACATCTCTGAAGGTGGTCACTGGGTGTGTTTGGTTTTGCCTTTATTTCAGATGAAATAGGAAGAGGTTAAAATGAGGATTGCAATGAAGATATATTACAGAAGTACCTTGGAACCTCTGAAAAATAAGCACAGGTCCTTAAGCTATACGGTTTTCACCTAACAAACAGCTGCAAAAATGTCATTTACATCTGCAAAGCCATTAATGGGGCCACTGCCCAAATGTTAGCCCTGCGTGGAGAGGTCATTATTACTAGTGGTACTGCAGGGATGCATAAGCAATGCATGGGAGCATCAAACCCCTTGGTACAACAGACAGCCTGGACAGCCAGGGCTGAGACTGGTCCCACTGTGGGCAGGAGACCACCAACACTCGCATCCCTTGGCTTGCTTGCCATGACCAGTGTCATGGGTTTTGTCATCAGGAGTTTTTGTTGTTCACAGGAGAGACCCTTCCCCTCCTCCTCAGCCCGGAGACAGGGCTCGCCTGCTGGAAGGGCGGTTATGCAGCCAGGAGAGGACCACGGCTTTCCTCCTCCATCAGGCTTTCCAAATCAAAGACGACATCATCTCCTACCTCCAGGGAAGCAACGGTTATCAGCATGGGGAGACTGCTGCCCGGCGGCTGCTGGAAAACCACATCCAGACCATTACGAGCATCATTAAAAAGCTCAGCGAGGACATTGAGGTAATACGCACCGAGGAGCATTTCCCTGCTTTAGTGGTGCAGCTCTAGCCCATGGTACATTCAGCACTAATATTGGCTTCAGGGGCAGAAAAGTACTCAACATGATCACTATGTTTTAGTTAAATTCTGTTTTTTCTCGTATAGGGGCACTTGCAGTTACTTAGGTAAAGTAAAGTAAAAAAAAAAAAAGGAAAGCAAAATGAAATAAAGAACAGATTAATGAGTTTTGGTGGTGTTTGATGTTTTAATTCAAACGTTCAGATTCTATTTGCTTTCAGTTTTGTTGGAGTGCGGGAGATTGAGTTCAAGGGAAATAAGAAGCAAGCTGTATTTTAATGTAACCTATAACATCAAGACTCAAGTTTGGATTTACTTCTTAGTTTTCCCAATGCAGATGTTTTGCCACTTTGTGTGATCTTCTGCATGTAAACATAATCAAATATTGCTGAAACTCTTCACAAAGCTCAGTGTAGACCAGAATGAAAGTTTAGGTTCATGTTTTGTTTAAACCGACTGATGATTGTGCTGGAAATGCATGGGATGCCCTTTTTCTGACTGAAGACCTCTGATTATTTGCTGTTACTTGTCGAATTTGTATGTGAAACTTACCAACACCTTTTAGGGACAAAGATCTAAAATACGAGAATAGGCTGAAATAGAATTCTCCAGCGATTTGTTTTGTCCCTTGAAGCATTAAATATCTTACAAATGCCACTAAATTCGCAATACATTTTGTTTGTCGTGTACTTGGAGAAATATTTGATCTTTTCTACATTTATCTTAAAAAGTATGCAAGCATGGTTCACCTGAAATTAATGTGAATAAAAACTAGGGTCTGTGCTCATTTCATACTGATTTTATTTTCAGGATTTTGATACTACGGTGATAAGCAATGCTATAAAACCACTTACTTATTTTAGATCATCCAATTCCTCTAACCCTGTCCAGGTAAAGTACACACAGGACTCTTCTGCTGGAAAAATGCCTAAGATGCTATCGGCATCTAAACCTAATCTTTTCCCTTGGTTGTAAATTACTCTTCTTTAGGTCCCAATCTCAGGTGCATATTTGCTTTGTGTATCTGTGTTGTGAGGGTTTGACAAGGGCAGAGCACCGACAGCACAGAAGACAGCACAGTGAGTCGTGTCCATCAAAGCCACTGCAGAATTGGTGGAGGTTTGGAGAGTTGCTTCTGGCATGCAGCAAATTAGGGTGGCTGAGCAATGTCAATTTCTCAGGAAAAAAAAAAAAAAAAAAAAGAAGAAAAAAAGGATCCGCCAGGAAATGTGACTCACTCATACTCCAAATCTTCCCCAAAGCAGGAAGAATATCCTTCAAAAAAGCCTGCTTTGGGGAAGATTTGGAGTATGAGATGGGATGCTGGCCTGCTGTTACCACCAGCAATAAAGCTGAGCACAAGTAAACGCACCCCTCTACCAGAGCCAGAAGAATCATAGAATTGTCTGGGTTGGAAGGGACCTTTAAGATCATCAAGTCCAACCATCAACTGAACACTGCCAGAAACACCGCTAAACCATGTCCCTCAGTACAACCTCTGCCGGTCTGTTAAATCCCTCCAGGGATGGGGACACCACCTCTTCCCCAGGCAGCCTGTTCCAACGTTTGACAACCCTTTCGGTGAAGAACCTTTCCCAAATATCCATCCTAAACCTCCTCTGGTGCAACTTGAGGCCGTTTCCTCAAATGCCCTAGTTGCATCAGGGACATCAAAACAATTAATGCCAAGTGGAAAATGACCAGACCCTTGACAAAAGCATCCTTCACCATCATAGGAGAGGATTGCAAATTGCGAGAGAAAAGCATCGATACTGAAAACCTTGGGGCAGAGGGGAGACGTGCCTGGCGTCACCTCTGATAATAACTATAGGATAGCCATGTCCCAGCCGAGGGGTTGCACACAGACCAAGTGGTGACCATCAGCCACACACACGATCTTGTGCATGTAGCTCTCTCTTGCCCAGGGCTAGTAAGCTCCGGGATGGGAGCGCTGCCAGGAGCCTGGGGAACTCGCTGGAGAGAAGGAGAATATCGATTTCCCTCTGTAAACAGGAGACTGCTGCTCTCCATCCTCACGAGTGAGCGTCTCATGCTGCTTTTGCCAGCGAGGGAGCGGTGGTCCCATCCTGCGCCTCCACCTTCGTGGGCTTGTGCCATCAGACTTGCGTTGCCAAACACACTGCCAAAAATACATTTGAGTTGTGCAGTACATTCAGCCTTTGAGAACATCATTTTCTGACGCAGAACAAAAATAGGAATACCCAGTATACCCAGTATTTCAGTTACCAACACGCTGTTGAGGGAGGAGGTGGTGGGATTATTATTAACCTCTATGCAACAACTTCGCCAAAATTTAAGCATTTGCAGTTGAAATTTTCCTTTATAATTGTCCTTTCCGATTTTTTTTTTCCAATTCACTCAGTGGGAATTATTTCAAATAAAATGTCAATTTTTGCAAAAATAGGATACTTGCATGAAAAAGGGTAAAAGCTGTGCTTTGACTGAGTGAAGCGCTGCATAGCACTGAGTTACACTGAAATATCAGCCCCAGGCCTCTCCTTTCAACCTGAGAAGTAAAATCAAGAGATTTTAGAAATCATTCTGCCCTTCCACTCCTTATCTGTAAAAGGTCACAGTAGCTGCAAAGGGCTTCCTGAAATGAATGCCTGTGACACATTCAGACACCATCCGGATGAGCCACCCCAGAAGACCCTGCAGGGCGGTTACTCCTTCCATCTTTGAACAATCTCAGACTTTTAATACTGCGCAATAAATCAGACATCAGGCCACACATTCAACAATAAGGGTAAAACAAGACATAAAAGATGCTTATACTGTCCCGCATCCACGTTCAAGGCTGGGTGGGTATATCTGTGATGCGCTTTAACGTGCTCCATGCCTTCACTGGAGCCAACACTGGCCCCGCGCAGGACTGCACCTGTCAAGGACGTGTTTCTATACATGCCGAGCACAGCATGTTGCTTGGACACGAGTGTTAGTGCAGCACGGGCAGGCTGGGCTTGGGGCAGAGACCCCGTCCCCACCCTGCGGAGCCCTCAGGTGGCTGCAAAAGTGACGGTGGAGATATCGCCTCCCTCCTAGAGACACCCAGCATCCCCTGCAGAACGGAGCCTGGCTTAAAAAAAAAACCCTCTGTGTTATTTATTATGGGCTGCACTGTGCTGAGGGTGTTTAAGAGTGGGGGCAATAAAATTAGTTTCCCAATTTTCGCATTTCCTAATTTTTGCGTGAGAGCCTTTTCAACATAAAGCACATATTTCAATTATTATTTATGCATATTATTTATGCAGATATAGATTTTTGAAAGGAAAAATACACTGCTACTTTCTCCAAGAAAGAAAAGCAAGCTTTTAGACCTGCTGCTGTAAATAGGGCTATGAACCCTATTTTGAAATGAAAAAAAAAGAAAACCAGCTCCAAAACAAAACAGAAAACCAAAAGTGCATTAATGGTCTTGAATTTACAGGTTTTGGAGAGGCAAATAAGATCAAGGGATGGTGCCGCCGTAGAAACTAATTTTGCTGTTCAAACTCTGGACCATAAATACGTCCAGGGTCTTGGAGACCTGCGTGGAAGAGTGGCGAGGTAAGGAATGGCTAACGGCCCTCCTCTTCATCTCTGCGAGCTGGTTTGTGCTGGGCAGGTTCAGAGTGGGCATGAGTGTGCTCTGCATTCATTTGATATCTCCATTTTAGTGACAGATCTGTGCTTTGCACTCTCCGTGTTAGAAAAATTATCAATCCAGGGGAAAAATAACTATATTTTCCTGTCTCATTCTTCATCACACACTTAACATTTTAGAGAATTTTTTCTTCTCCAGTCTGGCTAGACTTCAGCTGAAGTGGTTATTTCCTCTTACTGAAACTCTCCTGTTGTTTCAATAAAATCTTTACTTCCTCTCTTGGAAAGCAGGTCTTTTTGAGAAAACTTGATTTCTTCTTTTGGTGAGATTATAAGTTTCTATTGATACAAGTAATTACAAGTACATAATATAGGTGGACTTCTGTGGGGCGCTTAGTAATGCAAAGTATTATGATTGAAAGAAAGACAAAGTGAATCTGTGTTATGTAATATCAAGAGAGCACGTGGATTAAGAACTGTCTGAACTGATATATCAGAAAAAAATAATAATTAAGGAACAAATCTCCATGAACTAGCATGGGTCTAATGTTTTGGGTTTTTTTTTTCTCCAGAGACTCGTCATATGCTTTTCATATAAAACACTGCTACTGACAGTTGTGGGTAACACAGAATTTGGTCAAGAGAGGGCAAGGTGGTAATTGAGAATAACCAGGAATATTGGCAATGTGGGCTGATTGAGGGAAAATGCATTTTATAAACCACATATAATACATATAAAATGTACTTTTTAAAGAGGCTGTTCCACTACTGAGTGCCCCCTGAAAGGTTTGGGGAGTATGGCGGGTAAATAACTTACCCTGAGCTCTTACAATGATGTTGCATTGGAAATGCCAGGAGTATGGTCTCAGGCAAGAGAAGCAGAGGACCAGTAAACAGGGAGGTTATTTTAGCTCTATGTATGGCACAGAGACTGACAATACCGTATCGAGCACAGAGTCCCCTTCCTGAAATTAAAAACTTGATATGGTGTAAAGAAGAGCCAGGAATGTGACAGTGGGACGAGGAAAAATTCTGGCTGAGAGAAGTGTACGTCTATGTATAGTTTATGGAAAAAAATAAACCCAGAGACATCTTCGTTTCCACATATAACTACCAGGAGAGAAATATAAAAAATCATAGGGTGCCGAAGGACTCCAGACTACTGCAGAGAGACCCAAGAATCCAAAACGAGAAGCTGAAGCCAACACATTCAAAGTTGGCAGAAAAAAGATGGGTTTTTTTTAACCTTGTGGTGGATTAGCATTGGAACAAAGTAGGAGGTGATCCTGCAGGAGCTTCCTGATGTTTTCCAGTTCAGGTCAGCAGACTCTCTAGACCATACGCTTTTAGTGAAGCCATAACATTCGATGGGTGAAGTGTCTCGCTCCTCTTTTTGCAGCATGTTCCTAGGCATGATGCTTTCCTTCATCAGCTGCACCGGGACTTGGTCCCATCTTTTGTGCTTGAGCATTTGCCTGCAGCAGAGGAAAGCAAAAGTGCTTGGGGAAAACAGGAAAACGAGGTAACTATGGTGAAAAAATTACCAGTTCACTTCTACTTGCATAAAGGAAAAAAAAAAAACAACCAGAAGAAACAATAAGTTGAGCACTTGTGGAGGTCCACAACAACACATTTTATGAGGTCCCTGTTCCTCTTCCTTCTTTGCCCATTTCTCGGCTGTACTGGTTGGCCTTTCCCATGAGTAGAAGGGAGGATCACAAAACGCACTTATGCAATCGCACATAAAAAACTATCATGACATGACCAAAGTCATCACCTTATAATGCTGTAAACTAAGTCCTTAGACCCCATTTATTTTTAGGGAGAGAAAAAGGACAGAGGCAGTTTTTTCTAGCTTTGTCCAAACATACTGGTATGGCAGACCCAGAGCTGGCTGTTTAGCAGCATTTCGACAGCAATATTACGGCACAGTTTTATGCGCATGATTGCCATTAAGCTAAAGCATAGTATGCTTTTACGTGATTCATGAACCACCAGCGCTTTCTTGTTTTTCTTGCCGCTGAAGTCCGCCTCTGGAAACACCAAACCTTAACTGCGTACCTGCCCCCGGCGTCGTGGCTGAGGAGTGCGCCAGAAGTGACACACAGAGGACTGCCATTACAACGATGATTAAAGTTTTGATTTTTTACATTTTTTTTGCTCTTGAGTTTCAGGATTTAAAACTGCTGCGTGTACTCAGTAGAGCCCAGAGTGACTGGAGACAAATGCACGTGTTCATATAATTTACATTTATTGGATTAATAGAAATCTTCCAAATGAAAACTTGCGATGACAGTTTTCCTCTTAATTTGTAGCCTAACCTTAATCCAAGACTATCTGGGATGAAATGAACCTTAAATGGAGCCACTGCTCTTTCTCACAGCAGATGATTCATCCTCCTGTATTCTGCCATGTGTAAAGGATTAATGTGGATTAGCTCTTGTAATTCAAATTGTGTCTATTCTTTTACTCCGTCTTTCCCTGGAAAATAGATGGAGACCTCTTGCCAACTACTGAGGTGGCTGTCCATTAATTCTTGGAACTTGTGACTACACCTCTACACCGTGTAAACATTTATGTGTCAATAGCAGTATTCTTTAAAAAAACAAACAGCCTTCGGCATCTCAGCTATAGTGGCATTCCCATTAAATTAACTATATATTTTATTTGTATTCTAACTCTTGGTAAGAATTCCCTCAGGCATGGAAATATGTATTACAATAATAAGAATTAGGTAATCAACTGTAAAAAAAAGCCAAGAAGCCACACTTCTGATAAATATTAATTCATCCTCTTCAGCCTCACCAGCAGAAGACTAACCAAATGCACCAATGAGTAAACAATGCACTTTACACAGACGGTTACATTTTACTTATTTTGCTCGTGAACTTTCTTGTTGCTGAGAGAAAAAGTCCCCAACGTAGCACCAGTCCATCAAAAGCCCTGGTGAGTACCCATGGAGTTACTCGACCCTTCAGAAAATGCAGCACTCACCCAGTACAGCAGTCTGATATGTACTGTTCCTTCCCTGACCGCGGAGGATGAGGCTCCGTGAACGTATAGCAAGTAGCTATATTCCCATCCTTAATTAAATGCTTTGCTATAAACATCAGAGGCTTTTACCTCTTTATACTTCTTAATTTGTATGCGAAGCTCACAGGAGCGCACTTTCTGTACTGTTCCCGGTCCGGCTGCACTGCTGCTTGCACACTCTCCAGCCCCTCTTCCGTATGATGGGAAAACCACGGTCTCACCAGAAGCCACAGGATGTCTCCCACGTGAAATATTGAATTAGAGCCATATTCAAGCAACCTCCAGGTATCCCCGTTCTCTCCTGGACTCGATCTCACAAGCAGCAATAATGCGTTTAACTACTTTGCACGTAATAATGATATGATGTCCAGTTTTTTTTGGGGCAGGCCCAGGGACTTCAGGCATGTGAGCGGAGGGTCCTTGCATGGCCCACCACGTCTGCAGGTCCGCAGGCAGAGCTCTGACCTCTCCGGCCATGCCGCAACGCAGGTGTAGTCGCATTAATCCCACCCCGCAAGCCTGGTTCTCGGGCTGCTTTGGATCCTAGCATACAATCCCCTGTTTTTAAGTATTCTCTGTATAGGATATTCACGTTTCTTTCTCTTATAACTAAAGTTATGTCTTCTTACTACTACAGATCCATTAGTCCTCTTCTTTCTCACACTGAGACTCATCCTGAACTTCTTCACTCGTCCGAGGACACCCTGTTACCCTTTGCTCGTTCTATTCCAGGCTCGGCTCTTAGCTCAAAAATGTGGTCAGTAGTTTTCCAAGTGTTATCCTTCTTACCTACTCAATAAGACATGTTTAAAGGAGAAAATCTGGCTTTTATTAATCCATATTTAAGTGGTAAGTCTGGGGCTTTTGCTTACCTAAATACATTGCAATGCTGAAGGATGAAGCAGGATAAATTCTTATCAAGTCTTGCACCAACAGCGGCTGTTCACCCATCCCAGATAGGGTGGCCGTCACTAAGACAGAAGATGTAGGTCTCTCCATAAAACAACCACCCGATGTGGCAACAGCCGTGTAAGGCTTCTTGCAAAGCCTGGCAGTGGTTGCCCTGGGGGGTATTGTCCCATGGGAGTGGTCAGCCCCGACCCCCCCATCTCTGCTGAAGGAGCCGTCCCACACCTGGGTCTGGTCGCCCATCAACCCCACGTCTTGACCACAGCCTCGTCTCCTCTGAGTGTTTGCACCTCAATGTTCTCCCGCCATCTCTGTGGGCGTGAGGAGCCTCCCGTCCCCTCGCTGTCCCCCGGGACCGTGGTGGACCCCCCGTGCCCTCCCTTCACTGGCTCCCGCATTGTTTTCTGGGTCTGCAGCCGGAGACGCTGTGATGGTAGCCAGCTCTGGAACAGCCCCCTCCCTCTCCAGATCCGTGTGCACCTTTGCAGCTGTTTTGTACTCATTTTCCAAATCAATGGTTGCTTTTGATCAAAGTTCTGGCCTTTGTACAAAGCCTCTATTATCTGCAGTAACTTTTTTTTTGTTTCCTTGAGCTATGCGCTCTGTAGGTGTATCACAATATCTAAGCATCCTCAGGAGATGACAAAAAGCTGGTCTATTTAAACTGTCAAAATTTCTCTTTAGATCCTTTATCTGTCAACAGCATCAGCTTTATTTTGTGGTGGTGCTTTGGAGGATAATTTCTCTGGCATTTTAAAACTTAGCTGTTTTCCTCTCTCTCAACTTCTATTCCACTATTTATATTAGATTGCGCACTCCTTTGTGGCCTTAAGGTACTACTTTGTGGCCTTAAGGTATTTTTTTCCACACTCCTGTTCTAAGCAGTACCTGCACTGGGGCAGGAGGTGACTACTGGGGGGGCGAGGTGCAGGAGGGGTGCAGAAGGGGAAGTCTATGTCTCCTTGCTCATGTTAAGTAGAGGTATAATGTTATCTGTAAAATTTCATATATGCTACAGAAAGTCTTCTTGCTTGTGTTAAAAAATATAGTATGTAGATATATACTATACATACACAACATGTGTGTGTGTATATATATACGCACATTAAAGACGGGTGCTGAAACAGTCATTCATTCTACCTGGAAAGGATAGCTGGTTGAGTGCTCTTCAATCCCTTGGCCATTCAATTAATGCCACCACTCTCACATCATTCATTTGTCCATTTTAATTGTGACGGGATATTTTGGTGAATGCAGCTGAACAAGTTTAAATAGCAAATGACAAATGCTCCTTACAAAACAACAATGTTGGGTTTTTTTCTCTAAAATTGATGTTCCCCAACCCCTGACCCTGGCCAGCTGGTGGTGGCTGCAGCGTGCCATCTCTCCTCGTGGGCATCCAAAAGCTGGGGGACCTCAAGGTGCAGATTAGCCTCTCAATTTACACTTCAGATTTAATTTAATTTATTGAGATTGGATGGTGGGAAGTCAGGGGGAAATCAGTGTGGCAGGCTGAGCTGTGGGCAGCTCCTGCAGCTTCCCTGGAGCCAGCGGGCACCACCAGGAAGTTTGTGGTATGAGGAACCCACGGGCATCGCTGCTGCGGCCATGGGCATTGCCTTGCCATCACCTCCAGCAGCTCTCTTAATGGGCAGTAATGTCTGAAAGCAGAATGGGCACTGGGGCTGCTGCGATGGGGTGTCTTTGCCTACTCGCTACTCGCTGGGATGATCCCGGGGGGCTGGACTTGACCAGGCTGCAGTGCATGGAGACCAGCATCTGCCTTCAGCCACCCTCCAGCATCTCCCTGCAGAGGCTCTCTTGTCTCTGGTTTGCCTGCAGATGCGAGGCGAGCATTGCAAAGCTGTCGGGAGACATCAGCATTATCAGGCATGAGGCACAGAGGACTGATAAAGAGATTTATGGCCTCCAGTCTGCCCTCAAAAATTGCGTTGGCGATTTTGAGAAGAAGGTGAGTAGAGAAGCCTACAGTGAAATAGCTGGTGAGTGGTGATTATGCATATATGGATATAGCTCCTTTTCCTAATTGCTGACCAACATTGAAGATTGATACGGTATTTATAAAATGTGTCAGTATTTCTAGTGAAAAAATGTTTTCCATTTACTGTGGAATCATAGAATTGTAGAATAATTTGGGTTGGAAGGGACCTTAAAAAGCTATCTAGTCCACCCCCCTGCCCTGGGCAGGGCCACCTCCCCCCAGCCCAGGTTGCTCTAAGCCCCGTCCAACCTGGCCTTGAACACCTCCAGGGATGGGGCAGCCACAGCTTCTCGGGGCAACCTGCCCCAGGGGATCACCACCCGCACAGGGAACAGTTTCCTCCTGGTATCTCATCTCAATCTCCCCTCTGTCAGTGTCAAACCCTTCCCCCCCGTCCCACGGCTCCCCTCCCTGACCCAGAGTCCCTCCCCAGCTCTCCTGGAGGCCCTTTAGGCACTGGAAGGGGCTCTGAGCTCTCCCCTTTTTGGCCTTCTCTTCTCCAGGCTGACCCCCCCCAACTCTCCCAGCCTGTCCTCCCAGCAGAGG